ACCCCACTCTCTGCCCATTTCCTGGCCAGCCAGAGCTGCATGCTCTGATTAAGGGTCTGCTATGGATTTCCTGGGGGGACGCCATGCTTTTTTTTTTTTTTGGTAATCCATTAAAGTCCATACCAGACTTAAAAAAGGGGTTTATGTACTAAAGTTGGAAAGTGCAAAATCAGGCCCACTTCTGCATAGGAACCAATCAGCTTCCAGGTATATTGCCAAAGCTTAATTGAATAAGCTGAGGTTAGAAGTGGATCGGTTTCTATGCAGATAAAAGCCTGATTTTGCACTCTGCTGCTTTAGTAAATTTAGTGAAATTTTAATTTACATTCTTGCCGTAGGATGTGCTACAACAAAAATTACATTTACAAAAAAAAAAACAAAACCATTTTTAAAGGGTAATTCCACCTTTACATGCAAAAATTAAAGATTAATTCCCAACAACCTCCCCACTCCTCTGGTCCTCACTGCACTTATCTGCCATGCTGATAAATTTCCACTTCTGCCAATGTACCGATCCATACACAGCCCTGTAGCCTGCGTAGCAACAGAATGCCGGCAATGGCTAGTGATCATTGGTCAACGTGACAGTGCTATCCAATGACAATCTCCACTAAGTTATGGGGCTTGCAATGGTCTTTGATGTCATGTGACCATGCTGACCAATGGCATTTTTCTGCTACACTGGCTACAGGGCTGTGTATGGGGTTTCAAGATCGTTTTCTGTGCACAATAGTGCTAATAACTAACCCCAAAAGGGGGATAAGGAACAGCAAAGCACCACACTTCAAACAAAATACACTTGCATAACAGTATCTCCTTTAATCTATATTAGATTTTAAACATTGTATCCATTAAACCTGTATTAAAAACAATACCACATAAACAGAATTACACACTTTAAAAACCTTTACAATTCATACACCCCTATCAGGCAATCCCCCATATTCATATATAATTTTTTTTACAAACAAGTTCAAAATGTAAATTCATTAGTAGTTATTGCATGTATTAAATCACAGCAACATGGTAACGAGAGTGCAGGTAACATCAAAAGCTTAATGATGTAGAGGTGGGCCATCCATTAGCTTTTTAGAATATATACAAAAATAATGGTTGCATAGATCAATCATGTGCCCCATAGGAGGCAGATATCTGCAATGTCTCATTCCCAGGATAAGGTTGGAATTTGTGCTGAATGGTTTGAGCATATCCAAAGTTGTAAAAGCTGAACTCTGTTATACACACACACATGTAGCAACAGCTCGTATGTACTCCATCAGGGTACAGTGGAATAAAACAAAATCCAGAGCTGCAACTAGAGGGATAAAGACAAGGAATCACTGTGCAGCTTCAAAAAGGACTCTCAAGCAGCATCAGTAGTTCCAGAAACAGGTGTCTCCATATCAGTCACCAATGCAAATGATACAGATTCCTGCTTTCTGGCTTCAGTCATCCACAGATGTAACAAGGCATGCCTGGAAAAGGGAACACCTCAAGCCAGGTCTGACGCATTTCTTCCCCATGGGAACTTCCTCAGGGTCCTGCTCTTAAACCTCTCATCAGCAGCTAAGGCCTTTATCGGGACGCTGGAATAAGTACTAGCCTTATTGGGTCCCTGTAATATTCTCATGGTGGGATAGATGATCTGTTGAGGGTTAATCAATGTGGACTCCTGTAGGGCAATGTGCCATTAATCTCCAAATATTGCAACAATTTGGATGGGTGCAACCCAAGGGTCACCAATTTTGTTTTTTTTTTTAACAAAGACAATTCCCTATCTGTCACAGTGTTCAGGAAGAGAAAAAAAAGGGAGGTCAGTGAAGTAAACCCTGCACCAATGAAAGGAAGAAAATGCTCCTACAGGAATTGTAGTAACTCTGCATCAGTACAAAATGGTACCCCATCATTTGTGTGCAGTGGTCGCTTACCTTGTAGGCTCCATACGCCACTCTTTCCTGTAATGTCACAGCCAGGATTATACAGGCACAATCAGGAAAAAGGTCATGATTAGTGCCTGTTAAACTTCAGGGAATGCAGAGCATTCCAGCAACTGGCAATGTATCATTTACATCCTGTTAAAGCCTGCACCAAGCTCAGAGCCACAGCTTGCTTTAACTACATGTCTACCTTGCCATTTAGAAACGTACCTTGGTAGAAAAGTGGTTAGAGAAAACAAACTGCTATTTTAAACACACCCGAATTTAACTAATTTTAACCGAAAGTTCACTTTAATGAATTATATAAATGCTTATAATTTGGGTTCTAGTGCACTTTAAGTTTAAACAATTAATTCTTTGTGGTCAATACTTTGACCAAATGAGTTTCTCAATTCCAAGCAAATAAGATATGGAACTAGAAATTCTTTTAGTTTATCTTTTTTCTTTTTGAGAGACTGCATTTTTCCACCATCTGTTCAATGTCTCTGGGTGTTCCAGGCCAACACATTACACATTTTGGTCCTATCTGTGTGCGCTGAATGTTTGAATGAGCAATATGTAATTTTGGTGATTTCGTTTTGCAGACTTTGGCTGGCCATACATTATACAATTATCTGCAGATTTTTGGTTTAGATTTACCAAAAACCATATAATAGGAGGACAAACCTAAACAACACTTTCAGTTGTATCCAATTAGGCAGGCCCTTGCACTACAGTTAGTTGAAGGTAAATCTAAAGGAAATGGGCAGAAAATCTGCAGATAATTGTATAATGTATTTGGGTCTATCACCTGGCACAAGTTAGTGAAAAATCAACCAGTGTCCTATATAGTACAAAGCAGTTGACCTTTTCCTGAATAGGTAACATTCCTTATGTAACTTTTATTCTTCTGTGGGTCTTTAAAAATGGAACACAAAAATATATAAAATTTTTCCCCACTTTGGATAGCGTGACAAAGCATCAAATATTCATATTTTTACCTTTGCCCCTCCTTGGGAGGTTTCTCCTAACGTGCTGTCCTTCAATCTCTACTCTAAACAAAACCAAACCAAAAGGTTTTGGCTTTTGATACTTTTTACTGTAAATAAGGGGTGCTGAACCTTTTGAAGAGCAAGGGCCACTTAAGTGATTTGGTAACCAATCACGGGCCACACTAAAATGAAATCGTTCATTATGATATTCAAAATAAAAAAATTCCAATTTCTGAATATTTTCCTCCTGCAGCTGCTGAATGCCAGATGGAGGTAGAGAAGGAGAAGCCAGCTTAGCAGTTGCAGGAGGAAACTGGAGAGGATCGGTTCCTGTGTATGCAGCCCCTGCTGCCCATCAATGGTTGGGGGTGTGGTAAAAACAGCACAGTGTACCTGCAGCTTTCCTGTAGGTTAGCTGAGCTTTGCCATAGACGTCTATTATATCTTTCCTGTGTGGTGCATTCTGAAAGCACTCCAAAACTCCTGCATTCAGTTTGAGGTTGAGGGCCACATCAGAGGGCTCCAAGAGCCACATGTGGCCCACAGGTTGAGCACCCCTGCTGTAAATGTAACCCAGATAGCTATACTTGTTTGTTACATATACTTGCTGCGCATAAGAAATACAAGCATGCTTTTGATTTCCGGCTTTCAACATTTATTTTTTCAAATATGTAAAAAAAAAAAAAAAAATATATAATATGAATATGAAAATGGTTTGCATTCAGTTATTGATAACCGCACTATAAGGCCCCAGAGTATATTTAGACAGTCAGCTGTAGCTCAACAAACCTGCAAAGTTCATGCACGTTCAATGCAAGGTGGCATTAGGGACTAATAAGGGCTGCTACTGCTGCAGGCATTTTGCTTCAGGTCACTTTAAAACATACCTGCATTTGATGCACCTTAGAGGCATTCATTTTGTGAGCTGAACTATTACATTGGCTGGCCATTCACAACTCTAAGGACCACAATACTGAATAGGATAAAGTGCCTTATACCACAATAGATTTTATTTAGCCAACGTGTCTAAGGAGAGAAAAGTCAAACGGTCTTGCTTATGGCAACAACACTATCCCTTCATTCCTCCCAGGGAAGTAAAGTGAATGGAAGAATCTGATTGGTTACTCAGGTCAACAGACAGATATTTCCCAAGACAGGATTTAGATCTGTTTGGTGAATAGATCCAATAGATAGTAGCCAAGCCCAGAAACTATCTGCTTTCCATGTGCTTCTGTTGACATTTAAAGCCCAACTTTGGCAAAAAGTTCTCCCATGCGTGAGGTTGCACCTGCACCACAAGGGTTAGATGCTGGTTTAGTCTAGGGAATGGTAAAAGCACTTTTAATTTACTGAATCCTCCTACGGACCCCCCCCCCCCCCCCCCCCACAAATGGCACTCCCCTGTGCTCATGTGTACTCACGTCTAATGCAGAACTATGGTCACTGCATTGATCCTGATTATGTCAGAGGATATCAGACCACTGGAGTGCAGGAGAGAAGGGCTGCATGGACTAGTCTAGCAGTGTGGAGGAATAGGTAAGTAAATGTACTTTACTTGGTCCCCTAAGACATAAATGAGCAGCCAACTACTGCAATTCGGGCACACCGAGGAAAGACTTTCACTTTTCCCAGAATTCAGCTTTAACCAGGTAAGAGCTGCTCAGAGTTCAAACTGGGTATCTGATACATACTGATATTTATTTATAGGAGTTTAAATTATACAAGTTAGTGAATGAAAACCCACACCCACCCAATGTGCAATTAGTAAAAGCTCAATCATCCTTTCATTTTTAAAAATACAGATCTTGTTTTATCCATGACAGCTACACATTATAGCGATCATATATAAATTTCTGTGATGTCTGTATAAAACTTTTGAAAGAAAAGGATTGTAGTCAGCTTAGAACAAATATTCAATGTGTTTTCAAGTGCTGTTCTCAAAGTAATGTTATATTTACAAAAGCAGATCAATATGTCTGAAAAACTGTAAAGATGAATGCTTATTAAACCCCGAGAATGGGGATGATAATCTTTGAGCTGGTTCAACTTGGAATATAATTTTAGGGAAGGCTCAGTCGGGGATTTTAACAAACTAGTCATCATCTTCGGAGTCAGAATCATACTTCTTTCCTCGTATAGTTTTCTTTTCCAGTTTTGTGAAATGAGTGCCACATTTCTTCTGACATTGAGAAGGGGGTTCCATTAGATTTCCACTATAAAAATAAATATATAAAAATGGATTAACAGCAAATCTTAGTTGCTATAAAGCTGTGAAGTAGGAAGACAAGTATATTCATTAGAGCAAAAAATCTGTTTAGTAGGCTAAGGGCTCATTCAAACTGCTGCATGAACGTCTGATGCATAAAGGCTCTTATTTATCCAAATGGGAAGCCAACACCTCAGAACAGCCAAAATTAGACACTGTCACTTTTTCCCTCACTGCAGTGCACCTCATTGCAGATTATATGAATTGATGTGTTGTGATTTGCTGCAACCCAGGTGCATTGATGTAGCCTATTGGGGTACCAATAAAAATGTGATTTTTAGTTTACCTGTAAAATACCTTTCTTGGGAGTATATCATGGATGGTTAGGTTGCTCCCTACAGGTGACTGGACACTGCAAAAAGGAGGAAAATCCCCTTCCTGATAGGCAAGGCCTCAGTTCTTGTAGCAAGCCATAAACCACAAAGAAAGGGGTGGGATGTTGGTGTCCCATGATATATTCCAAGAAATGTATTTACAAGTAAAGCAAAAATTCTATTTTCCTAATCATACATCATAAAACACAGTGCATCTTCATATCCATAATGATAGGGATGACCCAAAGCATGGAATAAAGGATAAGGGCAACAAGTCACAGGTCCCAAATAACACCAGATTAGGTTAGAACCTCACACAGCAGCCTGCAAAACACGCTGAAAGTTAGCATCTTCTGCAGCTCCAATATCAACTTGGAAAAACTTTGTAAAAAGTATGTACCAAAGACCAGGTAAAGCCGCTTTAAAAAACTTGAGCTACCAAAGCCTGACGATGAAAATCCCAGGAGGCAATCACAGGTGGAACTTTTACTTTTAAGCCATAAGCTTCAGAAATAAGGTGATGGATCCATGGAGATATGATAGATTTGGAATCGGTGTGATCCTTCTTTTGGCACTCAGGAAGGTCTCTGAACAAGGACCATCAAGGCTGAAATTTGACCGGCCATTCCCTGATCTACACAGACTGCAGAAAAGCCAGAATACAGCCAATCACATGGAGGGTAAAAACTATTTACTCATCTCCAAAATTTGTGAGGAGATCCACCAGTCTTGTGCTGAGGTTTAACAACATTGGGGAATCCAACAACTATGGTCCTCTGGTAACATGCAACCAAGATTTTCCTTGTTGGAGGGGTTTAGAAATAAACCGGGTAAATATAACTGACTCAGGGGCAACCATCTTCCTCAGAGCCCTCATGCAAAAGTGAATCAAGGAATCTGTTAGTGTTCTGTGTAAGTCCTCAGAGTAAGACTATTAAGAGGGAAGATCCTGCTTGCCTGAATGGTATCTAGGGTCAGGTCCAGATATTCCAACCTCTGGGCCGACGTCTGGAGATTTAGAACCCATCCAAACCTCTCCAGAGCGCACACATTGGTCTCAAACAGAGAAGAAGATTGCTCCCTCAGAAGTTGTCCAGGTACCCTAGAACAGGGATACACCAGAAACATAGGTGCCCGGCAACCAGGACCTTGTTGAATAATGGGAGCCATGAACAGGACAAATGGCAGAGCACAAACTCTAGGTCAGTAAGGTGGTAAAATTGGAATGTGTAGGTAAGCATCTTTAACATCAACACATGTCAGAAAGACTCCTTGCTGGATGGAGGCCACCGACGACTGCACAAATTCCATCCGCAACTTTGTACCCTTAGAAACTTTATGTCTCCTGAGATCCAAAATGGGGCGAACATCGCAGTTTGGTTCTGGAACTGTGAAGTAGAAACCAAGAAACTGTTTGTCCTCTGGAACAAGATAAGAGATTGCAAGGGTGCAAATTTATTTTGTGGATTTAAAAAATAAATAAAAATTGAAAGCACAAGGCATGGAGAAAAGTCGCACCCTAACCCTGGGGCTCTTCAGGAGTAGATTCCTTGGACGAGGATTCTTTGGCATCCCCTTCTACAGAATATTCTCATCTTCCTCGACCTTATCCTTTACTGGAGTTCAGTTTGCGACCAAGGCAGTCCAAGCCACCAAGTATTCCGGAAAGCTGCTGCTGTACCTTGGCAATAGCAGATGTGAAATCCTACCTTGTCATGAATAGAACTGTAGAAAGGCCCTCTCAGAGCTAGTAGAGACACCAGATAGTGGAAGAGATTCAGTGCTGCTTGGGATACATTTTACAAGGGGGCTGCATCCAGGTATTTGGAACTCCTCATCCCCTACATCCTCATCTCTGCTGTCAGTGAGACATGACCTGCTGACGGGTAATTAGCGGTCCTAGACAGCCAAGAAGACACTGTGCCAGTAAGTACAAGTGTGCTGGTTACCCCAGGAGAATTACTAAGAATTTTCTGCCAGTGAACGCAACAAAAAGAAAAGGGAGGGGGTCGCTAGATAAGGCTAGACGGGGTACCAGCAAGACTACCTCAGAGTACTCACAATTTCTGCTACCCAAGGGGGTCTAATCTTCTCCCCTCACAGCAGGCTTTTCCACAAAGGGTCTTCAGGAGCTCGACTCCTCAGATGGGGATCACTGCCCTGGAACCTGTATAGTGTCTGCAAGGCAATATATCATTGTGCAGTGTCCCATTCTGCAGAGTCTAGTGCCAACCAGCAACATTACAGTCCATCACTGTGTCCAGAGCAGGGCCCAGGTAACGATTCTCTGAGTTTAAAAAAGCCACAGGCAATTGCTTCAGAAAAGCCAGTCTCCTAACCCCAGCTGGAAGTGTTGAGAAGTTAGCCATTTTCGTGCAGCATGTTTGAGAGCCTTGCGAATGAGTTATGACTTGAAGGGGATTTCCAGTCTTTTTTTGCCAGTGTCCAATTGCCTGATGGTGGCAGCATAACCCTGTCATGAATATGAAAATGTTCTGTGTCCTGTGATGCATTATAACAGAAAATCTCTTTTAACAAATTTATCAGTTAAAGCTTGTATGTACTATAAAAATTGTTCACATTTGGTTACAAAGTAGATAAGGTTGGAAAAACACAGGTCCAACCAATCCAACCTGTTTGTGTGTTAGTTTGTTATCCCTGTTTGTTCTGCTCATCAAATACAACACCCTTTTGTCTCTCCCTTGTTTCTGCAGCATTACATTAATGAGATTCTAAAAGCCTTATTTTTTTTTTTTTCTTTTTAAATAAACATGCAGTGGTTTGCACAGTGCAGCCCGGAACCTCCTCTTCTCAGGTCCCCCTGCAGGCTCTCCTGTCCCCTCCCTCCTGTGACACCTGTGGGGGCAACCGCTGCTCCGTGTATCCACTCACACACGGAGCCATGACTTGGCCCCAACCTTTCTTTTCTTATTGGCTAACTGGCTGTGATTGACAGTAGCGGGAGCCAATGGCTCCCGCTTCTGTCTTAACCAATGAAAAGAGGGAGTCTTGGGATATCTGTGACTCCAGTGCACATCGCTGGATCAAAAGGGGGCTTAGATAAGGATGGGGTGATGAAGGTAAAAAACCTTTAACCTTTAGAACCACTTTAAATAAGAACACAAACAAAATTTAAAAATGTGCAATGCATTGTGCAAGAAACAAAATTTTAGTTTCATTAGAAAATGGACAATACATCTATATAACACTAGTTCTCTTAAACCAACACTGACCAAACTAGGTGTTACTGTACACAGAGTTTAAACAGAATGACTATTGCTAAACACTGCAAAAGCTTTCCTAATACTTTTCCACTTGGTGTCAGTGTTCTGAAATACTATAATTGAGGGGAAATAAGCCTACAGTCCTATGTTCAGGCCTGATCCTTTAAAAGGATAGGTTCACCTTTGGAACATTTTACACCTGTATTTAGGGTGTAATATGTTCAAGCTCATGCCCCGCTCACCCCTTCACTTGTGACAGTGGGCAGGGGATGAGCTTGAACATAATAAAATTACTCCCTAAATGCTGGTCATATTTTAAAAACTAACATCAAGCAGTAGATAATTACTTGAAGTGATCTGCCGCAAATGTATACAGGATGGCGAGGTCAATTGCCCCTGCAACGATCCAGTACAACCAGGGAACAAAGAAGAGAAAAAAAATATATGAGGGGAAATTATCCAACAAACAATATCCCCTCCACATTTAAACCCAGGCCCCAACAACTATGCTATGATAGCATACGATTAAAGAAGATATACATATCCTTCAATATAATTTAAAGTGTGCAGTTGTGCTTCACCAGTCACAATGTTCCTCATGTAGAATGGAGACACCTGAAGTAAATAGCGGTCGCACAGGAGAAAAAGCTGCAGCATACAGCAGCCTTTAGTAATGAATGGCTGTACAATGTATAGGCTGTGAAAATCCCAGTAGATCAGCAGTTTTTTAAATACTCAGACCAGCCTGTCTGGCACCAACAACCATGCCATGTTCAAAGTCGCTTAAATCCCCCTTCTTCCTCATTCTGATGCTGAGCTTGAATTTCAGAAACTCTCCTTCACCATGGCTAGATGCCTAAATGTATTGAGTTGCTGCTATGTGATTGGCTGATTAGCAATGTATGTTACCAAGCGATTGAAAGTGTTTTTTACTCTTGTACTTTTCAGCATGAGTTAAAAAAAAAAAAAAAAAAAAAAAAAAAAACAATTTTGGGCCACTTTTCATTTGAAAACGAACACACATGCACACTTTTCCTGAATACACCAAGTAGTTGTGAAATGTACAGTTTTACTAAACAAGCCAAAATTTGCAAAACTGAGCTCAAAATTGGTTTTATCTTCAGGCAAGAAGGGGTTAAAATGCACTATAGCCATATTAAATTAGCACATAATTTGACGAAAACAAGTTTAGTAAATTACCTGTAGTTAATAATATCAGCACAGCCAAGTCTCCACTCTAAGGTCTCTGTGGTGAATTCATCTGTATTCCCTAAATCAGTAAAACCAACCACGTAATCTTTGGTCTTGCCATCTTTCACCAGGGCAAGAGTTGGGATGACTTTTATACGCAATCTCTCACACAGGAAAGGAGCTTTCTCCACATTCAGCTTCAGGAACTTAGTTTCTATGTGTTTCTTAGCCAGCAATGAAAGATGCTTGTCCAGTATTTTACATCTGTTGGAAAAAAATATATCAAGTATAATATCAAGTATAAATTAAAAATGTAATTATTATAAGGTTTGTGCTGTAAAACACATGTAGCATTATTTGCAAAGTAACAGTCTGCAAAATATTATGCTTGTCGCAATTAGCCGGTTCAAATAAGCCACTAAGCCCGGTTCACACTGGTGCAACTTGCAATACACAGAGTTGCATGGCAACTGAAATCACATTATGTTTAATGGTGGCTGTTCCAATCAGTGTGACTCAAGATGTTGCAAATTTGAAAAAAAGGTTCCTGCACTACTTTGGTGGACTCCAGTGGAATTTCAGCCCCATGGACTTATCTTACAGAAGCCAGTCAGCATTATAGAAGAAGCCATTCCTATGTGACTTTGATAAGCTCAATTATTTTTTTTCTCCTCCCAGATCATCCCTGCTGTCTAAACCATCCTCAAAAGCACATTCTATTCATGCACAAATGTTTTGTGCATCTCTTACATGTAAACACGCATTGTGCAAAGCGTAGGCCATTCACTTGAATAGAATGCCCCACACATGCCCAAAAGTAGCTCACGAACATCTTGGGTTGTGGAGCGTATCACTTTTTGTCATACGGCAAACCACGCATCTGCAAACTATGAGTGGGGTGTCATTAATAGTTAGGCAGAATTCAAATCTGCATGTTTCTGAATGTACGGCACGTACAGTAAATGTCCACTTACCATTATGGTGATGCAAGCATGATATGCATTTGTAGCAAGTTTCCAAAACAGGTGGTTGCTGCGTGACCAGAAATGTGGCAATGTGAATGCAACCGAACTGTTAATGAAACCCCAATCACAGAGAGCCATTATGGCACAGCACAATGGGCTTTTGCAGCGCACTTCCAAAATGTGCAGCAAAGCTCCTGTTTTTTGTGCAAGTTGCCTGCGTTTGAAGTGTGCAGATGTGAATGCATGGCAACGCAAGCACAAAGCGTGTTTCTAAAACGCGCAGCAAAGGATGCGTTGTCTGGGGTTTGCCACACGTAAACGTGCAAACATGAATGCAGCCTAATTGCTAATGACACTCTGATTGCAGTTAGTATGCCATTATGGCGACGCAAGATGCACAATTACAGCGGGTTTTCGAAATGAACAGTAAAGCACAACCGATAAGGTAGTTTGTCGCGTATGGGCTGCTCTGTGCACAATGTGCCATTACATGTGCAAAATTGGAAAAAAATAAATGAAAGGTGCAATCAGGGTTGAGTAGGAATTTTCTTGGGAGGAGAGTATTTAGGCAGTAAGGATGACCTTGGGGAAGAAGTGAAGGTTAAAAAAAACAAAACACAAAAGCTTTTCTAGGGAGCTGTTGGGGGAATATAGTTCATTTTATATTACAACTTGATCTTTTTTTAGGGAACTGTCTATTCCCTGGCTGTTTTTAAACAGTTGCCGCCCGGCCTATGGCCAGATGGCGGCCGGGCAAACAGCTCATCCCTCCGGATGGATGCCAATTTGGCGTCCTTTCCGGAACGCACATTGCACGTGCCAGCACTGCGGCGAGATCTGTCACCAGCCGTGTACCTCGGACACGGCCGATGACAGATCTGTGTACCGGCCCTGTTGCCAGTACCATGTGACCTGGTCACATGACAGTTGTAAACAATGGATGGCTTCCTTTCATGCCATCCCTTGTATACAAGTGTGTCTAGCTCTGAATAGTCACAGCGATCGCATGCACAAGCTGGGACAATCACAGCCCAGCTGTGTCATGTGATTAGCCGTGGCCAAATCACAGCTAATCACAAAAAAAAAAAAAACACAACAACCACCCTGAATGAATTGATTTCATTCAGGTAAATGCTTGCTTATAGCAAAGTAATTCTTTGCTATAAGCAAATTGTGTAAAAAAAAAAAAAAGAAAAAATAATACTGATCACTTCCCCAAAGTAGTACAATGTTACTATGGTAACATTATACTACTTCAGTCATAGTGCAATATGGCAAAAAACAAGAAAAAAAATTAACGAAAAATTAAAAAAATATATATTTTTTTTTTGTACTGTCACCAGTCAGTGCCCCTGATCACCGCCATGCTAGTTATATGATGACGCTGTACTGCACTGGTGACAGTGTGTAAAAAAAAGTGAAAATTTTTTTATTTCTTCATTTTCCGAAAAATGACCGTCAAAAAACTCACCATGCCTGTTATGAAGTACGTCGGACTGTCTATTTACAAAAAGGGGTCATTTGGTGGATATCTGTACTGTTCTGACATTCTTGGACCTCAAGAAATTAGATTGGCTGTCAGTTCTTCAGGATCAATCAATTTTCAGATATAGCCCATAGTTTTGTGAACGCTACAACTTTCCTACCGACTAAATAATAAATTACTAATTTGGGTTATTTTCACCTAAGAAATGTAGCAGAATAAATTTGGCCTAAATTTATGAAGAACAATTATTTATTTGCAAACTTTTATAACAAAGAAAAACATGTTTTTTTCTTCAAAATTTTGGTCTTTTTGCTTTAATTTAGCAAAAAATAAAAACCCCAGTGGCAATTAAATACCACCAAAAGAAAGCTCTAGCTGTGTGAAGAAAATGATAAAAATTTTAGTTTAGGTACAATGTTGTATACGACTGCGCAATTGTCATTCAAAGTGTGAGAGAGAGCGCTGAAACCTGAAAATTGGCCTGGGCAGGAAGGGGGTAAAAGTGCCCTGTATGGAAGTGGTTAAAAGAGATTTTGTAGTAAAAATTTATGATTTTAGTTTATGTCTTTGCCTAATCTGTTCTGAAAAAAGGTATCAGCGCCGTTGAAAATCCAACTCTTTACTTTTTATTGTTCTTCCTCTTTAATTTGTATTGGGATGTGGTGACTGCATCAAATGAACCCATTGCTTTGTTTATATAGTGTCCAATTATACAGTTTTTTCATGGCCCATCATAGCCTTGGCTTTAGAACTCCTTCAAAAGCAGATGGATTTTTTTTAGGCTAGGATGTCTTATACTGGAAAAGCTGTTATCTCAATACAAGTATTAGCCACAGACTGGAAGTAAAAAATGCACTCTACAAGACTGATTTGCAAGGTTGATTTACGCAAATCTACATGCAAGCTAAGCACAACAGCAGCAATCTTTGTACAATACCTGAACGTAGAGTCCTTGTAAAAATGACAGACAACATTTTTACTTTCTTTCACTTCTTGGAAGAAATCTCTCTCGCTAGGAATTTCTCTGTATTCACCATGCCCTTTGGAGATCCACTCCTGAAGTGCAAAAATTATATATTATAAATAATAAACCCCGTTGTGGATCAGTATGCAACATAAAGATCTTTAAAATAAAAGTAGAACTAAATGCTCCTATACTTTAGGCCCCATTCACATCTGCGGTTCCGGTTTTGGAAACTGCATTGCACTAGTGTTGCCATTACAGTGTTCCTAAACCCACAACAGTAAAATCAGTCTGTATATGCAGTAAAGCATACTTGTTATACTCAACTGTGGAACCTAAGGGGTTAATCCTCTGCACTGTGTAAAAAGGCTGTTTGATCCTGGCTTTTCTGATCCTCCCCTTCTTCCACTGTCCCCGTCTTATCTCCTGATAAGACATGTGGAGTCACTCTACACATGCTCAGTTTGGTGTATATTGCTAGCGGGGGGTTTTTTTTTTTTTTTTTCCTTGGGAGGGTGCATGTGATCAGCACAGGGCCAATCAGCACTGTCCAGACAGAGGTCTGCATCTTCCTAGAACAGAATGAAAACTCCTACTACAAGCTTTAACCAGTGCTTTGCTGGACACTGATAGAAGTCACAAGACTGCTCTATCTGCTGGTGAGAAAAGGTATTTATCAGTTTATATTTACTAAAATAATTGCATTTCAATGTTCTGTGTACTATAAGAGACCAGATATAGTAAATGCAGGGTCCTGGGTTTAGTAACACTTTAAATAATTATATGGAATTCCCACAATGTGGATGGCTTAAGGTAAAAAAAAAAAAAAAACCTTTAGCCTGCAGAAGCACTTTAAAATCAAGTTACCTGTTTTTGCTGCTGTGCCTTCTTTAAAGCTTCTAGTCGCTTTTCTTTTAGGCGCTCCAATTCATCTTCATCGATCTTATCTAGCTTTTCCAACTCAGCATCCAGCTGTTCTTCCATCATCTTGGCAGTCTGCAACAATTGATTCTCCATGACTTTTGAAAACATCTCCACAGAAGTGTCAGCCGCCATATCTAAAATAAATAAGTAAAATACTACATTATTCAATAAGCAGGGCAAGAACTGAAACACACAAGACTTTTTATTGAAACTGACTAGACTAGTATTTATGATGTTCTCTTTACAGTTTCTTTTTTCTACAGAACACTCTTAAAGCACAGCTAAGTTAAGTGATATTAAAGGCATTTAAAAAAAAAAAAACACATCATACTTACCTGCTCTGTGCAGTGGTTTTGCACACACAGAGCAGCCCTGATCTGCCTCTTCTCGGGTCCCCCACTGGCACTTCTGGCCCCTCCCTCCTGCCAAGTACCCCCCTGGCAAGCTCTCCCTATTAGCTCACTGGCTGTGATTGACATCAGCTGGAGCCAATGGCTCCTGGTGCTGTCTCAGCCAATGAGGAAGAGTCCCCAAAGAGGCGAGGCTCTCGTGCACATCGATGGTTTGGGATGGGTCTCAGGTAAGTATTGGGGGGGCTGCTGCACACAAAGTTTTTTCATGCATAGAATGCATGAAGGTAAAAAAGCCTGTGCCTTTACAACCACTTTAAAATTCCAAGGAAGTGACGAACTGGCACCGATATATTATTGAAGCGCCACCTGTGGTTTTCCTGCTGGTTAGCTGCACTTTGCCATAGACTTTTATTATATTCTGCAGGTGTAGTGCACTCTCTTTCTGCATTTAGTAGTTTTGGTGTGCTTTCAGAAAGTGCACCAAACCCACAGGTAATAACAGAAGTGTATGGCTCAGTGTAGGAAACCCGCAGGTGCACTGCGCTGCACCTGTGGATCAGTTTGAAAGCAGCCCAGTAACTACTGCAGAAGAGATATGTCCATATATACACTGTGATTTTAGTAATAAATTAACCTTTAAAAACAGTCTTCCATTCAGGAATTGCCCTTTCTTCCGGTATCGCCAGCTGTTGCTGTCTCAAGAGCACTTACTATCACTCTACCTGTGACAGGAGCCAGCGCTATACAGGAAGCATTGGCTTATGCGGCTCTACTCCTTCTGAAGATGTGCGCTTCCTCTACCACCAACCTCCTTCACAACACTGAGGCTCTGGGATTGAGTTTCGGCAACCTGCGTTCTGGGCTTGTTGTTCCGCCATCCCAGAGCAGGATGTCGTGGGCCACATCAGAAAACTCTGGTTGAACACTCCTGGCATAGCCCATAATTCTAACTTACTAATGGAAGGTAGAAAGGAAAGCCAACATTTGAATTGGTTGCTCTGGGCAACACACTTTCTCTTTCCTCACATTTTTATGGGATAATGATGCTGAAAGAGGTACTATCATGACAGTTAAGACAAATGGCGGCGTGTTTTAAAGTTACTAAACTCTCCTATCCTTTACAGCCATCTTAGCTTCTGCCATCTGCCGTTGTCATAGTGGTGAAAATATGATCAGTTATGACACCAGCCATTTGATTGTTTGCCTGTTCAGCTGAGAGCACAAGCCACTGTGACAGTTGTCATTCATCGCATGCCTTAAAGTGACACTAAACTTGATTGATTATCATTCTAAAATATCAACTAGACCATGGCTGTTTTTGGTTTAGTCTCTTACGGTTGTTTTCAGACCTCTTTTTTGTCCTGTGCACACTCCCTATCCTCCACTGATGCAGCTCACTACTACACTAGTGTAGAGCTAGCAGTGCTATTAAACCTGGTCACTTGCTCTGCTCTATGAGTACTACTATAACGCCAATAGAGAGCTGAATGTGTCTGCACAAAGATGTGTAGTCCATCTCGGGGACAAGCAGGAAAGGGTGGCTACGTTTACAAACACAAGGGGGACAAAGAATTAATGTTGCTACCCTAGAATAGGAAGCCTGAGAATAGCAGATAAAAGCTTCCATTTAAAAGATGAAACAAAGGAAGGGAGAGATAAAAAAGGGACATTTGACATATTTCCAAATTCCCCAAGGAGTTGACAGACCCATATGTGCCACCTATACAGAGCTCTACTAGCTTTTGAACCAAGCCCCAGCCTTCACCATTGAGCAACTTGATGCCTTCACATTTACTGACCAACGGGGATCTAGCCCTGGATGGTTGAAAGGTGCAGCTTTGTTTTATTCTCTGGTGGCCAATCCCAAGCTGCTGGCTCCCCCCCTGTCTGTTTCTGTGAGTCTCCTTAGCTAGCTAGCTGCTAGGAGACACCTGTGTGGGCATGCTCCCAGCCAGTGCTGTGTGTGTCCATTGACACGTAAAGTTCCCAGAAAACTACAGGTCAGCTCCCTGCTCCCAACAATGTGACCAACAGCAGACCTCAGTACTCTACAACCTGGAAAAGGGGAAGCTGCACAAATTGTCCTGTAGCTGGTAGCAGTCACAAGGGTCCACAGGTGTTTACAGACAGTGGAACAGAGAGACTAGGGTGATTCTTATCTTAATGCAGAGAATGCAGTAAGGCATTTTAAAAAAAAGTGCTTAGTTAGCATTTAGTACCACTTTAAAGTAAAACAAAAAGGCAAAACTTTTCTTCCCCTTTTTTGAATACACAAAGAGAGAGTTATTAACTGTACCATAGCGAGAACAGGAAGTGATAGGAAATCACTCCAAAGTAAGGGAATCTCACTTAATCACTAGTGTCACCAGAACTAGTGTTCACATTGAAAGACTTCCCCCTCTATTCCTGTTCCGTATAGAACCCATAAATTTAGGATTTTTACTTTTGGTGAGAATGATAAACATGTCAGATGGACAAGATGAATCCCCTTACCAGAGGCACAGACAGCAATAAAAACCTGATGGAATAGAACACCTATCTCCACACTATACAAAACTAAAACAAAAAAAAAGAAAGAAAGTTTTGCCTTTAGTTACTTTAAAACCCCAAGGAAACTAAACCCTCCTATCATTTTCAGCCGACGAAGGTGTCATCTTAGTCTCTGTTTGATCTGTAACTGACATGGTACTGCACATGTGATCAGTTAGAACACCTGTCATTTGATGGTTTGACAGTTTGGTTGAGAACACAAGCAAATGTGACAGTTAGCATTCTAGGAATGCCTAGAATGTAACTGTTTTTTTAAACTGTTAAATTGATAGGTTTAGTTCCATTTTCTTTAACAATAATGTTTGTTTTTCCAAGTCATAGCAAGCACAAGGGAGCCCTAGACAGGGGGACAAAACAACTGTACATAGTATCAGAGGAAAGGAGAAAGAAAAAAAAAAAAAAAAGATGGGGAAGTAGTCTCTGCAGACTCAGGATGGTTTAGTTCCACTTTAACATTTTAAACTAAAAGTTCCACCTTAACAGGTACCCTGCCATTTCCTTTATTAGACAAAACCATCCTTCCTGTTTAATTTGTCATCCTAGTGTTTTGTTAACATTACAAAGTTGTGGTGATGTGCATAAAACCGCAGGTCACCGCAACAAAGTAAAAACATGACATACACACAATACATTGTAATGTGTTAGTATTACAACACTGTATCAAACCATTTCACATCCATTTTGTCCCTACTGCTTTGTCCTGTGCCCTGCCTGCATTTTTACTGTTCTTTCTGCCTGGAAACTTGAGAACATCCATGGCGTCCAAAAAGCGTCCCTTTAGGTCAAAAGCGGTTTTAGACCAGCTAGAGAACAGCGATAGTAAATCAGAACCACTTGCAGAATTGAGTTATAATGATTCGTGGGGAAATTCGTCATTAGACACTGAAAACGATTTTGCGACTTTGCTCAGTGATGTGCGAACTTGGCACTATATTTCAAATTTCAGTGTTTTTAGTTTGATTACATTATTGAACTAAAATGTATTATTTTTTATAATGATTTATTATATTATAATTTTGTTTCAAACTTTATCATACCCGGGATGTTTACTAGACTCGTTTGGATAGATTAAAATAAGTTATTCCTAAGAATTACAGGCCTACAATATAAAACAACTAATTTCCATGCAAAACAATGTACCGCTTTGACATTCACATATATTGACATAATCAGACTGCCAGGGGGGTTAATAAAGAATATATATTTATTTTTGTATTAATAGCCCATCACACTGTTCCCTCAATGCTTGGCAAAATGGACACCAGCCCACATGCTATAATGGAGAGTTTTAGCGTGTGGGTAGCGTGAACACGCATGAAGTCAGGATTTATGTTACTGGCAAGTTCACCCGACAAGAATCAAGCAAGAGAAAAAAAAAACAAGAAAAACACAAAGGACAAGAAAACCAATGCAGCAATCACACCTAAGATCTAATGCACACGGAGCATCTAGCCTGTGTGTCACACCCTGCTCTTTTGGTGCACCGTCCATCCTGATGCTGGCAGCCTATCAAAGTCGACGACAAACTGAAAGACGCTGTACAGTGGTACTCATATTTAGGGCTGAACACATACAGCCCTATACATGAGTAGCACTTGGTACAGCATATTTCAGTTTGTCGCTGACTTTGATAGGCTGAAGGTATGCGGGGGCTAGGCAGTGCACCTGTCCCATCCAGGTATAGGACGTGACACGCAGGAGGCTAAACACCCAGCATGTACGAGGCCTAGAGATTGGGAAACTGCAATCCATATTGTGTCCATTGCAATCTTTATCAATGACAGACCTAACCATGTACCCTGCTTTGAACCCCATTGTCCCTTATGCTGCCTCTGGTAGGGTGTGGTCATTCACCAAACCATGACACAAAGCCAATAATTCCTCAGTCACCACAATGGAGGACGATTTCTTGGATTTTAACAACAGGCCCCACAGAAAACACCCAAGGCAGGCCTCATATCTTGATGTAGAGCCCCAGTGTCCTCCAAGGCAGCACAGTTGAGCTCTAGAAACAAAGCGGGCCTGCTCAGGCCTAGTGCCAGGCTTCCCTACACCTCTGTAGGGTACACACAGCTCATCTCCCCCCCCATTCCGGCCCCATTACCTGCTCTCGGCGCCTCACAACCACTTCCACCAACACACCACTGTCAAGACAACCAACCCGTTCACGCTGCGTTCTACAAAGCCTTCACTGACGTTCGCCACGTGATCATACCGTATCCAACCCTC